TGAAGAAGTGGAGAAATAAATTAAAACCCTCTTAGTTTCTTTTCTGGGGAAGCTATTTCTCCCTCTCAGCATTCCTTACTCGTCTGCTGTACTTTGTGTAGGGTTAGGACCTCATACGCACTCCCCCATCCGAGTTAGTGTGTTTATTGGGTTTGTCCATGTGCAACCCGTGCTTAGACAATCATGTTGGTGAAAATATATGGGTGTAGCCTCTAACATTCCTAGAAGAGACAATCTCACAACGAACTCCCCATTCCTCTGGCTCTTAGAATCTTTCCACCTCTTACGCAATGATTCCTGAGTCTTAGATGCAAGAGTTGTGCTGGAAATGTTATGAGTTGTTACTGAGATACCACTCTGTATTTTGAATTTAACCCATTTATATCCAACATTTATAGGTACTGACTGAGTACTGTCAAGGTGATGTTTTCTGGTTGTTTTATATATCTTTTGCTCCCTTCTTGCTATCCTTTTACGTGATTCCATGTTTTTCTCTAGAGATGTGTTTTGATTACATGTATGTTTTATGTGTCTAATATCTTTTTTATGTTTTTATTTTGTAGTTAGAAGAAGTTCTGTATTAGACGAGGCTATTTAAGCTGATAATAATTTAGACCTCATAAACAATATTCTCTTTCCACATTTTATGTTTTTGGTGTCATATTTTTATCTTTTTATTTTGTTCATCAAGTAAAATATTTTGAAGCTATCTTTTTAATCCTCATACTAAATACATAATTGATTTATATGCAATGTTTAAGAAAAGAGAGTAATCTGAAATTAACTCTGTGTGTGTGTGTGTGTGTGTGTGTGTGTGTGTGTGTGTGTGTGTATCTACTGTGTTTTATTCTTTCATCTGTTTTTAATGTTGTTAAATTACTGAGTAGCCTGGTGTTTCTCTTTAAGCTTGAAGACTTCCCTCCATCATGTATTGGTTTTTTTAAAGAGAGGCTCATGGGTGAATAATGCTCAGATTTGCTTGTCTGGGAATTCTTCATCTCTTTCTCACTTCTGGACTTCTATGCCATACAAAGTGTGTTTCATGCGGGTGTTTTTCTTCCTCTTCTGCTGTCTGAATAAATTATCCTCTATCTCATGGACTGTGAACATTCTACTGCGAAATCTACCACTGAGTCAAGTTATAACCCCATATATATGATGTGTGTTTTCTTGATACTTTCATAATCTCTATCATCTTTTATTTTTGACCATTTGATTATAATATGTAGTGGTGTGATCTTCTTCACATTGATACTGGCTAGCTTGTCCTTTCTATACCTGGGCATATAAATTCATCTGTAAATTTGAGAAATTTTCATCTATTATTGATTTAAATATTCTTTCTGTCCATTATTTGTCTCTTTTTCCTTTCTTACTTGTAAAATTAGAACATCCGTTCCTCATTGGTTCCCTATAAATCATCTACACTTTCTCAGTCATTTTCATTATTTTTCTCCCTCTCCCCTCTTTATTATTTGGAAAATGGATTTTTTTCTACTCTGATAAATGCTACTGTTGATTTTTTATTTTATTAATTTTATTGCCAACTAAAATTTTCACTTTACACTTACTTTAATTTTTTTAATAATTTCAATTTGTCTGTTAATTTTAATATCTTGATTTTATTGACTTCTCTATTTTCTTAAACATCTCCGAGTTTCCATAAATAAATATTTTAAATTATTCATCAAACAGTTTGTGTTTCAATCTTTGGTGTAGATTCTGGAGGATTATTGTGTCTTGATATGCCTCTTGATTTTGTTAAATTCTTGATAATTTACATTGATATCCATGTGTTCCATAGAGCAATTGTTTCTTTTACATTTTGCAAACTAATTTTGATGTGGTAAAACTTCGCAGTCTTCTTCCCAATAGGGCAGGCAGTCAGTAGGGGGACTACAGCCATGTAGCCTCTGTACACTGCTGTCAGAGGTCAGTAAGAGGAGGTCAGCAGAATACTACAGAGATCCTTAGCAGCCAAGGCTCTCAAAATCTGCTGTGGCAGTGAATTTGTTGAGTGTGGTAATCAGGTTTGGCCAGTCACTTTTTCCCCTTTCACCAGGGAGAGAAATTGTGTCTGAGACGGTCCCTTTTGGCATCAGAGTTGTCTTTTAGGACATTTCACGGTGCTTGCAGCATCAGTCAGATGTTGAGTCACCTACAGAGCAGATGCCTGAAGTACAGGGACCTGTGGGTGGGCTGTCTTTGGGGTCTGGACAATAATTGACTTCTTTTTGGTAATAGCATGCAGTTGCATTGGTAATCTTATGCACAGCAAGGGAACCCAAACATGTTTAGAGTTACAATAGCTAGGACCCAGATCATAGGCACACTGAGACATGGAGGTTCTGGGGTCTTAAAGACCACTGCAAACTGTTGCAGTATGGCAGTGGCCCATTGTAAGCTGTAGAAATATATGTTACAGCCACAGAACCCATGTCGAGAGTATGGACGCTCTCTAATGACCTCAGCTTGGGAATGCGGCATGCCTGTGTTTGGCAAAGGAGTAACAATAGTGACTGCTTCTTGAAGCCTGATGGTATTCAGCCACATCTAAGAGAGGCAGATGGGCCTCATTACATGGCACTTTTTGAAGTGTTTATTTATTTCCAGCAATCTGAATCTCTATAATTGGGTTTATCAGGCTACCTTTTTGAAGAGTAAATTCCTCTAACTGTGCAAGAAGGTTTATCTATTTATGTGTCATCACAGTGCATTGCACTGATAAATGTTTCCAACACATTCTTTCTCCCCTAACCCCAATTGTAATACTTTCTTTAATGAACTTCAGCAAAACTGTGTAAAAGAAGTCCCTAGTTAAGATCTGTAGACTTAGAGTTCTAATTAGTGTACTTCTGTGGCTCTTTTCTTGCCTGTAAAATGGTGATAAGCATTCAGCTTGCCTCCTAGGACTTCTGACTTACTTCTTAATTAATAAGGAAATAATGAAGCAAGCTTATGCTTCCACACTGATACCTCTATTCTCTTAAGTTTGCCATTTCACTTCTTAGGCCCTTTTCCTTGCTCATGTATATAGCCATCCAGACCAAATAATTCCTACAAGGCCGTATCTGTACTTCCGTCCATGTATATGATTCTATACAATTAAGCACTAGTTTCTGAATTCTGTAGACGATGAGAAGATATCTAGTTGCCTAATATCTTCAGTCTACCATTTGTACCTCCATACATGTCCCTAAAATCCTACCCACAAAAAAAATCATTCTGTGATTCTTGGAAAGAATGCCATGCACTGGAAATTGTACACACAAGATTGAATTTAACACTTTACACTATTATGTTTAAACTGTTTACTGAGCACTTGAGATGTTTACTTGTAAGTAAGTAATTACATGCAAATAAGTAATGAAGAGCAATATTCCTAATTCAAATGCTTGGAGCCAGAAGTATTTTGTAACTTAGATTTTAAACCTTTAGGATTTTGCATGCAGCTGATAAGATCATTTGGAAATGGGACACAGTTCTTACCATGAAATTCCTTTATGGGTCATGAACACTTTTATTATGCAGCCTGTAATAATTTTACACAGTATATCCATGTCCTACTGGTATTATACTATAATACATCATATGAGACCACATATGGAAATTTCCATTTACACTATCATATTCTGATCCAAAACACTTTTGATTTTAAGACGCTTGGATTGGAGTTTTAGGAATGATAATGTGTAGAACAATGGTAGAAAAAGATGCCAAGCTTTATAAGCCATCAAGAAAAAAAAATCATTCTTTGGTTGATGGACATCAAGGTAATTCCAAGTTCCGGCCAATAAGAAAAATGCTACTGTGAACATTCTTGAGCAAGTGTCCTTGTGGTATATATCTTTTGGGTATATGCCCAAGAGTGGTATAGCTGGATCTTGAGGTAGATTGATTCCCAATTTTCTGAGAAACCTCCATATTGATTTCCAGCTTGGCTGTACAAGTTTGCACACCCACCAGCAGTGGAGGAGTGTTCCTCCTTGCTCCACGTCTTCTCCAACACAAGCTGTCATTTGTGTTTTTTGTCTTAGCCATTTTGACAGGTGTAGGAAGGTACCTCAGAGTCATTTTGATTTGTATTTCCCTGATGGCTAAGGATGTTGAACAATTATTTAAGTGTATCTCAGCCATTTGATATTCTTTTGTTGAAAATTCTCTGTCCTCCTTTTTAAATTGGATTATTTAGTTTTATGTTGTCTAGTTTCTTGAGTTCTTTATATATTTTGGAAATCAAGTCCTTTGTCAGATGTGGATTGATGAGAATCTTTTCCCATTCTATGGGCTGCCGTTTTGTCCTATTGATGGTGTCTTTTGCCTACAGAAGCTTTTCAGTTACATGAGGTCACATTTATTAATTCTTGATCTTAGTGACTGTGCTACTTGTGTTCTATTCAGGAAGTTGTCTCCTGTGCCGATGTGTCCAAGGTTCTTTCCCACATTCTTTTCTGTCATGTTCAGTGTAACTGGATTTATGTTGAGCTCTTTAGATAAGGATCTATGTCCCTAATGCTTTGGCTGACTTCCATGAACCTATGCCTCATAGTGGGTTGCCTTGCCCAGCCTTAATACAAGGTGAGGAGCTTAGTCCTAACTCCACTTGATAGACTATGCTTTGTTGACATGCATGGGAGGTCTGCCCCCATCTGAACAGAAATAGAAGGAAATGTTTGGGGGAGACAGGAGGGGAGTGGAGGAAGGGATGGGTGAAGTAGAAGGAGGGAAAATTACACTCAAGATGTAAAATAAATGAATAAATTTAATTAATAAAGAAGAAAGGAATCTTTCACTGTGATTGTAAAGTCGTTTAAGTAAATAGGTTGCTTTCCCCCACTCCACCAATCTAGTTGTCTCCCCAGTCCAACAACCAAGGAACAGGAAGACAGAAGGCATTAAACCAATCAGAAACTTTTCTTTTGTCTGACAATATAATCCTATATGACCATTTTCTGATATGGTCCACCCAGTGTTTTATGGATTTTATTGTTTCTTTGTAGGTTCAAGGCAATTATGATGTGACACGCTATGAAAATATTTTCTCTCTGTTCTGGATTCTGGAGCAACTTCTTCAACAAGAAACCCAGGGAGATCCCACTTTACACATTGATCACAGCATCCCAGAAATCCAGACATTTCTTCAGAAGCATGATGAAACCATCTTCCAACTTTCAGATGCGTTTCCTTTATTTACTTTTTACTTATGGAGACTGGGCATTCTCTTGAACTCAGAAGAGATGGAGACTGTTGAGAATGAGTCATTTCCTTAGCAGTCTACCGTATATCAGAAAGTGGTGTGCTTAAATTTTTTTCAAAGATGTTTTTAAATGAGTAATTTAAACTGATTGACCAACCTAATTATTAACTAAATTTAGTGGTAAGTCTTTTACAGAGGAGAAGATGAATCGCTGTTCTATATTACAATCAGGCAATTTCAGTTAACAATGCCCCTCATACTCATGCATTGTATTTTACTTCACTCAATAGTCTAGCTTTGTTCTCTAAAATGGACCAACAATCGTCTATCTAGTAATATGTAGTAAATTGTGAAAATTTCCATCTGATATAAATGTACAAATTATAAAGAAATACAGATTAAACTTCTGTCATTTAACACATTTAAATACAAGGTTTCAGTAAATGATAAAAAATAAAAATTTATTCTGCAGTTGTACTCATGTCATTTTCCTCTTGAAGAATAGTTCTACAAAAGGAGAAAAGGCTTTGGAAACAAATGGTTTTTAATTTCACATAATCAACATATTTGTTAAGTATTTTTGAAGTATTAATTAGTTCTTTAAAATGTCTGTTTTTAAAACAAATTTTCTGTTGATTAAAAACATTATTGCCCCTGTGATTGTTAAAATGTTGTAAAGTTGCATATTATTAAGTCATTAGGGATGCTTTTGTAAATTTTAATATCCTCCAAGAAATACACTTTATACTTATTAAAAGTACTGGGTTGAATTTTTCCATTACCCAATTTTCTTTACTTCATTTCAGTTATTAAAATTATAACAGACAAGCTTAATGAGCATACATTTTGTACTTTTCTATTGTGCAATTTAAAGCAAATATAATGTAATTTTCTTTCCTTTGTTAATTATGTGCAATTCTGTTTTATAAGTTAATTATCATTTCCAGATGTCATTAGTACTAAAAAATAAACTTTGCTATTTTCTTCTATAATGTATATAAAATTATATCATCTTCTAGGATTATTTTTGGAATTATTTACCAGGAAATCTGTTATAAAAATAACTCTGCAAGAAATGGCTGCATAAACAAGACCAGAAAATGGCAATATCAATGGACATATTAACATGGAAGGGAGAAAATTTCCTGGGGTCTCACCCCTAGATAAAGAACTGGAGGCAACTAATGACTGGAAAAGGAGAATTAGCCTGCCACAGTGATGAGCCCCCTTATTTGTTATCCAATGCAAAGTGCTCATTTCTGAAACCACACACACACACCACACGGATGCATGCACACGTACACACACACACATACACACACTAAATGAACAGATGCAGCTCTATTTATATATTTTTGAATGTATTTAACTGTATCTATATATGTATGTATGTAATAATAATAAAGAAAATGAGGCTATCAACATGAGGGGGAACATGGGAGGAATTGATGGGAAGGTAACAGAGAATTGTGGGAGAAAAGGGAGTGGGGAGTGATTTAATTATATTTCAATTTTTAAAATATATACTTCAATTAATTACATTAAAAAAAACTCCTTTCTTTGATTTTAAGTGACTTCTTGCCTCAAACCTTCAGGCAGGACACTGACCAGTCCCTGGGACAACTATGATGTTCATTTGTGCTACATGAGCTCCAGAGCCAGGCCACTCCCCTGAGAGGACTGAGCACTTACTGTCCGCTCCTACTGTGGTCCATTACCAGCAACAGCTGGCTACAACTGATGGGGTATTTTAATTTGCTACTTGATAAAGTGTAAGCATAGCAGACAATACTGGGCTCAGAATCTCATATGCTACTAAGCATAATTGGGTTACTTAAGGATTCCTTAATTTATTTCTAGAATAAATGAAGTTTAGTTGAGATTTCCAATTGATGCTATTCACCTAAGTGGCATAGATATAAATTCTACTCCAGTATTTGATTGTTTTGTAAGTCGGTATGACTAATATTTCCTGAGGATAAAATGTGTTAAGTCCTTAAGCATGCAAAGATCAAGATCAGATACCCATATATGGATTAGAGTTAACTCCCAAGATTTAGACATGGAAATAAGTAATACATTTGAGCATAGCTTAATCTGGCTTCAAAATGAAATCATTTTTTTTTTAATTCTGTCAGAGGAAAAATATCTATTTCAGGACTAGAATCCATAGTGTGATACTATCATCCAAGTATGATGTATGGATATATATGTGGATGTGTGTATGTAGGTGTGCATGCATGGATGTGCATGAATGTGGATGCCCAAGTTCAATGATTGCCGTTCCTTGGGAGCAGTCCTTTAGTTGTTTCTGGTTTGGTTTTGTTTCTTTGAGTGGTTTGAGACAGGGCCTCTCACTAGCGCCTAGAAACCTCAGATTAGGCTAGATGAGCTGGTCATCAAGCTCAAGGGACTTTCTATGTCTCTCCCAGGTTTTCATTACAGGCACGTGCCACCATGGCTTTTTCATATGAGACTCGAACTCAGGTTGTCATGATTGGGAGGCAAGCACTTTACCAACTGTGGTGTCTCCTCAGTCCCATGTTTGATATTTTTAAACCACTTTTTGAAGTAAGAAAATGTCTTCGAGGCTGCCTCTTAGAGAAAAAGATGTGCAGAATTAATTCATTTAAAATGTGTCAGTGATGTGTTCCCCAAAGTAGCTTTATTTTAGGCAGCTCTTGTTCACGCCTTTTCCTGGGATGTAGAAAATGCATGTAAAGCCTTTGCTTGCCCTCTGCATGTCAATGGCACTACACGTATGTCCTTTGGAATGGGCCTTTGTTGACATATTGAAGCAACAGTGGAGTTCAAAGAGGAACACATTGTTAAAGATATAAATGAAAAGCGAGAGAAGGCAAGAGAAGACAAGGGCATCACTAAGTCATCTTACAACACAGGACAAGTGATACTGTGATAGTTCTCTTAACGGCATCTGTCCTCTGGCTTTAAAGTGTACAGAACAAGCAGTATCTGTTACTGTTAGGAAAATGTGTTTCTCTTGAATGCATGCGTAAATGATTAGGCCAAGTTGTGAATTTAAATACTCGTTATTATTAAATACCAGAGGGCATTGGGATATCTGTGTCTTCCCTGACATGATGGAAGCCTTTCAGTGGAAGAACATATCACTTGGAATTAAAAATGGGGACATCACCCTGTCTCTATCATATAAATAAAATTCCCACTTCATCATTAATGTATTTTTTATATTTTTCTTTTCTTATTTTTCTCTCATACTTTACATCCTGACTGCAGTTTCTCCTCTCTCTTCCCCCAGTTCCTCTCTCTTCACCTTCCCTTTCCCCTCCTCCATCTTCCCTCAGAAGAGAGTAGGTCTCCTAAGAATATCAACCTAACATGACATAACAAACCACAATAAGACCAAGCACATAACATTTCGTCAAGGCTCAATGAGGCAACCAGGAGGAGGAAAAGTGTCCCAGAAACAGCCAAAAGACTCAGAGACACCCCTACTCCCACTGTTAAGAGTCCCACAAGAACACCAAGCTACTCAACCATAACATATATGCAGAGGACCTAGGTTACAGTCTCCTTGCAGAGGACCTAGGTCAGACCTTTACAGTCTCCTTGATCTCTCCAAGCCCCCATGAGTCTTGGTCAATTTATTCTGTAGTCCATGTTCTCTTGGTGTCCCTGACACCTCCAGTCCCTTAGACCCTTCCTCCCCCTCCTTCAAAAGGCTCCCAAAGTTATGCCAAATGTTTGACTGTGGGACTCTGCGTCTGCTCCCATCAGTCACTGTATCAAATCTCTTTGGTCTCTTTGATGATGATTTGTTGCAGGAATCCTAATTTGTCTTAATAAAAACCCACAGCCAGATTTCAGGGTAAATGATGAAAGATCAGAGAGACAAAGGAACAAGCCACAGCCACCTCCTCTCACTTCACCAACTCCATAGCCAAAAAAAGCTGAGCTCCTCTCTCTTCCCATCTTATAGTCCTCTCGGCCATATCACTTCCTATCTCAGACTCCCTAGTGCTGGGATTAAAAGCTTGTATGCCACCCAATTACTGGAAACAAAGGCATGAGATGCCAAGTGCTGGGATTAAAAATGTGTGCCACCACTGCCTGGTCTCTATGGCTAACTAGTGGCTGGCTTTGCCCTCTGATCTGAAGATCAGCTTTATTTGTTAGACCACACACAAAATAGCACCACAACATTTGGCTAGGATCCAGTCCCAGAACACTCTGCAGGCAGGACAAACTCTAAGTTGAAGGTTTTGTGGATGGGTTAGTGTTCCAGTCCCTCCACTTGAGGCCTTGCCTGGTTACAGATGATGGCCGGTTCAGACTCCATGTCAATTATTACTAGGAGTCTTTGCTAGGGTTAGTCTCATAGACTAAATGGAATTTCCATGTACTGGGTTTCCACCTCACCCCCAAATTTCCCACAATTCCAGTCATTTCTTCTTGTGTTTTCTCCCTCCCCCTACACATGATCCTTCCTGTTACCAAACCCATCCCACCCAGTCCACCCATGAAATCTATTTCTCCTTCCCAGGGAGATCCTTGTGTCCCCCCCCCCCAGAGCCTTCCTTGTTATTTCGCCTCTCGGGGTCTGTGGATTGTAGCATCATTATCCTTTTCTTAAAAGCTAATATCCACTTATAAATGAGTATATACTATGTTTGTCTTTCTGGGTCTGGGTTACCTCATTCAGGATGAGTTTTTCTAGTTCCATCCATTTCCCTGCAAATTTCATAATATCATTAATTTGACAGCCGAGTAATACTCCATTGGGTAAATTTACCACATTTTCTTTATCCATTCTTCAGTTGAGGGACATTTAGGTTGTTTCTGGCTATTATAAGTAAAGCTGCTATGAACATAGTTGAGCAAGTGTCCTTGTGATAGGATGGAGCATCCTTTGGGTATATGCCCAAGAAGGGTACAGCTAGGTCTTGAAATAGATTGATTCCCAACTTTCTGAGAAACTGCCATATTGATTTCCAAAGTGTCTATATAAGTTTGTACTCCTACCAGCAGTGAAGAAGCATTCCCCATGCCAGCATGAGCTGTCATTTGTGCTTTTTATCTTAGCCATTCTGACAGGAATAAGATGGAATCTCAGAGTCCTTAGATTTGCATTTCCCTGGTGGCTAAGGATGTTGAACATTTCTTTAAGTGCTTCTCAGTCATTTTGGTTTCCTCTGTTGCAAATTCTCTGTGTAGATCTATACCCCATTTTTAATTGGATTATTTAGTTAGTTGTGTCAAGTTTCTTGAGTTCTTTATATATTTTGGATACTAGCCCTCTGTCAGATGTGGAGTTGGTGAAAATCTTTTCCCATTCTGTGGGCTGCCATTTTGCCCTGTTGATGGTGTCCTTTGCCTTACAGAAGCTTTTCAGTTTCATGAGGTCCCATTTATTAATTGTTGATCTTAGTACCTGTGCTACTGGTGATCTGCTCAGAAAATTGTCTCCGGTGCCAATATGTTCAAGCCTCTTCCCCACTTTCTTTTCTATTTGGTTCAGTGTATCTGGGATTTTTTTCTGTTTGTTTTTGTTTTTGTTTTCAGTTTATCTTGTTTTATGTTGAACTTTTGATCCACTTGGACTTGAGTTTTGTGCAGGATGATAGATAGGGATCTATTTGCATTCTTCTGCATGCTGATCTCTCGTTAGACCAGCACCATTTATTGAAGATGCCTTTTTTTCAGTTGTGTATTTCTAGCTGCTTTATCGAAAATCAGTTGTCCATGGGTGTTTGCATTTACATCTGTGTCTTAAATTGGATTCCATTGATTAATGAGTCTATTTTCACTCCAGTGCCATACAGTTTTTATCACCACAGCTTGTAGTACAACTTGAAATTATGGTTGGTGATAGCTCTGGAAGTTCCTTTATTGTACAGGACTGTTTTAGCTATCCTAGGTTTTCTTGTTTTTTAGTATTAAGTAAAGTATTATTTTTTCAAGGTCTGTAAAGAATTTTGTTAGAATTTTGATGGGTAGTGCATTGAATCTGTAGATTGCTCTTAACCACATAGACATGTTTACTATTTCAGTCCTACCAATCCATGAGAATGGGAGATCTTTCCATTTTTTGATATCTTTTTCAATTTCCATCTTAAAAGACTTGAAGATTTTATCATACAGGTCTTTCACTTGCTTGGCTAGAGTTACCCCAAGATATTTTATATTATTTATGGCTCTTGTAAAGGGTGTTGTTTCCCTGATTTCAGGGCTACTGATTTTTTTTTATAGTTAATCTTATATCCAACCACTTTGGTGAAAGAGTTTATTAGTTGTAAGAATTCCCTAGTAGAATTTTTGGGTTTTCTAATGCATACATCATATCATCTGGAAATAGCATAACTTTGAGTTATTCCTTTCCAGTCTGTAT